GCTCCCATGCAATCGACGTGGCGCGCGCGGGCGGCGGGGCACGCGCGGGCGGCGGCAGCGCGACGTTCGGGGCGTGCGGACGCGGCGGCTGCGGCGGCTGCGGCGGCAGCATCGGGGGAGGGACCATGCCCAGCATGATCTGACCGTGCAGGATGGCGTGGGCCAGGCGCGGGTTGGCGAGCAGCAGGTCGCGCAGGTCGGCGCGGTTCTGCAGGACGGCCTTCTTGAGGTGGAGCATGGCGGCGTGGATCTCGGCGGGGGTCATGGCGGCCATGGACGGGTTGGCGGAGGCGAGCGGGGCCGGGATGGCTGGGTTCGCGGGGGCCTTGGACGGCGGGGCGGGGGATTTGGCGTGGGGGTCCGGGGCGAGGGAGAGGCCGTTTGCGGCGGCGGCTTGCTTGTCCGAGTCGGTTAGGTCGACGCGCAGCGGGCGGCCGTTGAGCTGCGTGCCGTTTAGGTTGCGGCGGGCAGACATGGCGGTCTCTTTGTCTTCGTACTCGCAGAAGCCGAAGCCCTTGGCGCGGCCGGTGTCGTGGTCGTACATGAGGCGGAAGGAGACGACGTTGCCGACTTCGGAGAAGACCTCCTTGAGCTGGTCTTCGGTGGTGTCATAGGAGATGTTGCCGACGAAGACGGTGGTGCCGGGGGGGCGACCCATTGCGGCGGAGGTGGAGGTGGCGGGGGTGGGGGAATGGGTGAAGGAGAACGGGTCGGATCAATGCGGGTGAACGAACGCGGGCGGGGGGGGATGCGTGGCGAGGACTACAGAGAGTGAAAGATATAACAGGGCGACAATATCGTGGCCACGTGGCAAAAAACGAAACGTGAAAACGTATTACACGGGAACACGTGTGGAAAGCTAATAGTACAATCAAGTTGTGTTACGTTCTCTCTAGACTGTCTATTGGACCGTTGCCTTCATATGCGGACACTATTCGGGCCATTTTATTCTTGACTTGCGCTTCCTCAACAAGAAAGAAAAAGGTACCCCAACCCCACCACTGTACTTGACTTGTGACTAAGGGACAGAAAGAACTTTGTGAGGATTGCACGTTGTTCCCTGGTCGTTTTTAGATATGTCTGGAAAAGAAGCCTTTTAAAACCACCTTAAAACCGCATGTAATAACTTCAAAACCAAAAACGCCAGCTTAAACAGCAACTATGTACTCCATCTGCGATACGTTCTTAATCTTTCTGCGTACTCAAAGCTGCTCTCCCGGTGTTTTGCAAGATGTTATGTATTGCCGAAAACCAGTGCGTTAAGGAAATAGTGTGCAAGATGGATTTTTAATTTTTTAATTTAATTTGTATATCTAGAGTACTTTTTGCGACCCGAACGGGATACGGCAGGGGCAGATGTGGCCCAATGGTAACGCGCAAAATATCGGGGCGGCTCGACACGTGTCAGGCGGGACAAGGAGTGGGCCGGACACGGCAGCGGATCAAAGGCACCTCGGACTGTCGCATACCTGGCCTGACCGGGCCCCTGACCTACAGTTTTGAATCTCACACCGTTGCCCGCCCTCTTGCACCCGCGCCCAAATCCCTTCGTCCTATCACCTCAACGCCCTTCTCCGTCACCCCCACTCCGCCCCCCTCCCCTTCCGCTTACCGCGACCCATCTCCCCCGCCCCTTCCGCCACATTTCGCCGCTCTGCCTTCTACACTCAATCCTTTCCCTTCCCCCCCCTACGCACACAACCTCCCCACTACGCTTCCCTCAAACCATGGCGCCCAAAAAATCCGCAGAGTCGAAGAAGGAGGCCGCCAACAAGGACAAGGACACCCCTTCCACCTCAGATAAGCCGAAATCTTCCGATCCCAAGAAAATTATTTCCCGCTCCTCGCGCGCGGGTCTGCAGTTTCCCGTTGGCCGTATTCACCGCCATCTCAAGAACCGCGTCAGCCGCCAAGAGCGCGTGGGCGCCACGGCCGCAGTCTACTCGGCCGCCATCCTAGAATACCTCACCGCAGAAGTCCTCGAGCTGGCGGGCAACGCCTGCAAAGACCTTAAAGTGAAGCGCGTCACCCCGAGGCATCTACAGCTCGCCATCCGCGGAGATGAGGAGCTCGATTGCCTCGTGCAAGCCACCATCGCAGGCGGTGGTGTTATCCCCTACATTCACAAGAGCTTGACCTACAAAAAGCCCGGCGCCAAAAGCTCCCAGCTGGAATAAGATGCTCCTCCGACCTCGCTCCTCTCCTTCTCTCATGTCTACTTTCCCACTGTCAACAGGGACACCATCCATTCCCTGCCATATTTCACATTTCTTGATCGCTCAAAGCACCCTCCGATCACATTGTCCGCTCAGATCCTGCGTCTTCCTTTGAGTTCTCAACCTCACAGCCTGATAAGTGTTCGGTTACATGTCCTCTGCCTCCCGCTATCTGCCTTGCACGCTATCTGCCTTGCACGCCCATGTCCATCACATCACGAGGGCTACATTCTACTTGTGCCAGAGTACCATGCGGCAACATCCCGCCTTGGCCACGGTCATGACTTTCCGACCCACTATCGTTGCCCGACGTCATGTTGCCCGTGAAACCAAGCCTTGCTTCCGGTCAAACGCACAAGAGACAGATAGTAAAGCCCGATCAACCTCCATCATCCTCTCGTTGACCAGTTCTGTTTTTTTTGTCGTCACCCTTTCAGTGCGGTAGCAAAGTCTCGACACTTTTGCGACGAGCTTCAATATCTTCCTTGGATAGCATCTTATCTTCTCCCATTTCTCTCGACTTTGTAGCCATTTCAACCCACGCCTGAGCCTGCTTAATACCTTCCAGCCGTGTCGCTTCATGTTGCAGAAAGGCGTCGACAAAGAGAACATGATTGCTTTGGTCAACGCTTAGGCCCTCGGCTGGTGCACGTGGCGCACGATACGGGAACACCAGCGGCATCGTCATCGTGGTACACCGATGCTCAAACTGAGAAAATTTTTCTCGCGTGTTGACTCCTTCCCAGTCCATCTCAGCCCTTACCTTATCAAGCTGCGTGTCATACAACGACTTAAACGCAGCCGGTTTGTTCTCCCGAACGCTACTTGTTGCATCATTGTAGCTGCTTGAATGCCCTTCCAGCAGGTCTGAGATAGCGTCCTTGGTGGCCGTGAGTCGCATCTCCGCGACTCCACTATTCCGTGCATCCGCACCCGACGGCGGATTCTTGTTTTGCCCTTCAAGCTCGAACACAACCGAAACAAAAGGGAACATCAATTGCAGCTGAAATACATTTGAAGACTTGTTCAGTTCCGGCTGTGCTAAAACCTTGTTCGTATCCAGAAGCAGACAGCGGAACGGCCCATTCTCATCCATCTGCAATGCCAAACGTAACGTTCCATCAAAAACTGAAATGGCAGCCGGAAAGCTCCAAGCCTTCTTCTGGTGTGCCGCTCGCGGCGAGAAGGCCAAGCGATGCTCCCGGGCGACGCGGAAGACAGCGACGCCATCAAGACGATCGGCCGAGCCCGCGACCTCTTCGGTAGAATGCGAGGCGTGCTTCCGGCACGCCGTGCACATGAGCACGTCTGGAGACTGGGTGTCACCGGGTGTCGGGTGGGCGTCGGCGGCCCAGCAGAGCGTCGACAGGAATTTCTCAAACGGTAAACCCTTCACAGGTTCCAATGTCCTTGCGGTGGTCTTAGGGGTGGGAGGACTCGACATGCCGAGAGCAAAACCCGAACGAGGACGCTCCAGGTGGTCATCAGCGATGTTGGTTGCATTCTCGCAACTGCCGTGGCGTTGAAGGGAAAGAGGCTTCGGCGCACATGTGAGGCGCGAATCTAATTTCCTTCCTCCCCGTGCCTTGAGCACCAATGTTGCCGCCCCCCCAAAAAAGTATCTCAATTTCACGCTCCACGCTTCCTCGCTCTTGTCATACTGTTTGGTTTCACGATAGAGCCCTGCAGCGCTTTCTCCCTTCCGTTGTCACGTCATGGAGCCAAGATCGTCAGACTCTCTCCACACTTGTGAGAACAAGTGCGCGCGTGTGTAGACGACGATGCTGTCAGGGGCCGAGAAGACGTACATCGAGGCCGGTGCCGCGCAGGGAATCCGAGCCGATGGTCGGGGGCTGCTTGATTTGCGACCGGTGACGCTGGAAACCAGCCTGCTACCGACAGCCTCCGGGTCCGCGCGAGTCCGCATCGGCGGCGTCACAGACATCCTCGTCGGCGTCAAGGCGGAGGTCGTCGAGCCGCACGTCAATGCCCCAGATGAGGGCCTCATGTCGTTTGCGGTCGAATGCAGCAGCCTAGCCTCGCCGGACTTTGTCGGCCGCGGCGGCGCCGATCTGAACGCGGAGCTCAGCCAGCTGCTCACGCGCCTGTACGCCTCGTCCGCGACGCGCGAGCTCCGCAGAGGGCTCGCGCTCATTCCGGGCAGGAAGTGCTGGGTTCTGCATGTCGACGCCTTGGTCCTGGATTCGGGAGGCAATTTGTACGGGGCATTGTCACTGGCTGTGCGTGCCGCGCTTAGGGTTGTTACGCTGCCGAGAGTGGTCATCATCCCGGGCGAGGCCGATGATGATGACGAGATCGAGGTCAACGAGGAGGTGTTTGAGAGGCTCAGCAGATCGGAGGATGCGCCTGTCGCCGTGACTTTGTCGGCGGTTGGCGGTCGCGGCATTTATATCGCCGATTCGACGTCTGAGGAAGAGGCTTGTGCGAAGGCCGCCATCACTATGGGCGTCAACTTGGCTGGCCGCGCCTGTGGCGCTGTGTCGGGCGGTACAGGGGGTGTGGATATGGATACGCTCAAGAGTATGTTGAAAGATGCTGTACGGGTGGGCGGCGATATCCTCAAGACGACCGATAGTTTTTTGCAAGATGATATTGCGAGAATGGAATCAGGTGAAGAAGTTGAGCCTGTTGGGTTTTTCTCATGACAGCATAATTCAGATTGGCAATGTCATTTGGAAACAAGTTGGAAAGTGAAATTGTTTATATTGGGACAGGAGCAAACGAACGCCTATGCTGGTGGTGCCACTGGGCGTTTTCTGACGTTCATTACCCCATGCTCAGTCACAGAGAGTGACTTGCGCTCTGGTCTGAAGATTAATGACGTAATCATGCGACGTTATTTTTCTTCGGCACGGAATTTGTCCCTCTGCAACATTTGCAACTTGTACATAAATATACTTGGCTGACTTTTGACACTAGCAAAGTGTAGTGCGGCGGCCCCATAGTCGCCTTCAGTGACCTTCAGAAAGCCACAAAGAAGTTCCCCTTCATCGCGGCGATAAACCAAAGCTCGATACACGTATCCTGAGTGTCAGAGCCCTCCATCTACTGTTCTCAATGGCGGCCGTTGCCTTCTTATCTTCCATACTCAAGTCGCTTCTGTATTTGCCACGCGTACATAGCATCACTCCTCAAACAGAAAAGTGCCTACAGGCCAGCCGCCATGTTACTCTTGCCCTAGACCAAGCACGACGCTCATACTGAATGTGCCCGGCGCATCTAAGAACATGATGTCTAGAACCACACATGCAAGGCCCAATAGGCGGGAGTGTGTGCTGTGTGGCTTGATTTGGAGGCAGAATTTTAGGATCCAGCACACGCTGTCTAAGAGCATTGCTGGGCGTCGAAGTGCTCGAATAGGACGGACCCCCTTCCCAAATAAAAGGGTTTTGAAACGGCACCCGAGCCCAGGAGCCAACGCCTGGTCCAGCGAATCTTCACGAGCTTCAGGCGCTCTTGTAGAGTGCCACCCATGGTCAAGACGGTTAAGGGCTGGCTCCCGAGATTGGTATGTTACGTGAGCGGCTTCCTTCTCATCCCCTCGCGTGCCCAACTGTCGCTTCACAGCGCACGACCATGATGATGCGATTTGAAACACGACCGCTTGCGTCGCGATCTCCTGCACCGTATTCTGACAAAATTTCACTCCAAACTGTCTCTCGCGATCCGAATGGTGCGCCGCACCCCGCCGTAGTTTCAAGCAATCCAGCTCTTTATCTACAGAATGGTCAAGCGCGTACGTCGCATAGTGAGCGGCCAGACCCAAGTTGCAAGAATATGCGGCGAGGGAGGCTCGGCCAACGGTCAGGCCGTTGTGCATTCTGCTGCCATGACAATTGCGCTGTGGAAGGAGTGGGCAACTTCAAAGAAGCTGCACCAGCTCTTCGTTGATCGCGCGCAGGACCCGGCCATGGACATTAATGACACCGCCGACCAAATCTGCGGAACTAAGAAAATATCCGACACGCCGGTCGTGTAAGTATAAAAGGCGTTCTCCATGCGTTTTTGCGGGGAACACTACATGATACCCTGCCTGTGCGTATACAGCGAGCCATGACGCTGTGCTAACCCCAAAACCCGATTACATACGTCCCTCGGAAATTGCGCAGAACTGAAAACCTGAAAAGGTGCTTGGGAAACATCAAAGTCGTGAACAAGTTCATTGTCTCGGTGCAAGCGCATTCGTCGAAAAGCTTTGACAAAGACAACGCGGAGCACGAAAGTAAGCTGGAGGAACTCTGGGAGCTGTTGCGACCCGGGACGAAGCGGGAAGGCGGGCGTTACTCAAAGGAGTGGGGCCGAATAGGATTCCAGCAGTCAGACCCCGCGAGCGACTTCCGAGGTGGGGGAATGCTAGGCCTTGACCAGCTGCTTTACTTTGCACGCACGCGAACATCGGTTGCGCGGCGCATGATCTCGGAGCCGTCGACGGAGACGAAGCGGTATCCATGGGCGTGCGTGGGCATCAACCTGACGATGGAGGCGAAGCGGATTCTGGAGGAACGGATGCTGGATGGGCAGTTGTATGGCATTTCAAACATGAGAGCGATGGTGATTTTTAATGAGCTGTATGCGAATATGTTTGAGATTCTGCACGCACGGTGGATTGCGGCTAAGCCTGAAAATGTGCTTGCGTTTCCGCCGGTTTTGAAGGAGGCTCTCGAGGCTATTAATAGGGAGGTGGCGGAGACGGGCTCCCTCGTTCCGCCAGGGACGAGTGCGTGAGAGATTAGACCAGGGCCGCAGATAGAAAGGTTTTAAATGGAGGAACGAACGTGTTGCGACTTGAATGGCGCTCGATGCGGGGTGGGTCCTGTTTCCGTTGAGTTGCAATCTGTGAGAATGAGGGGCGAGAGTACAGCGTCGACTCTGCGAGTGTTGAGGTAGGCCCCGTAGTATGGGCACGTATACTGTTATAGTATGGGGAACCTAGATGCTCAGTATTGGCCTAGATGGTGTGCTAGTATACAAGTTTTGTACGTTTCTGAGTGTAGCACCGCTCAAAGTTGTCAGTTTAAGTAGGAGCAAGGGTGTTTCTATAAAGGTCTATGAGGAGGAGAATGAATTGCCTGTGAGTACAAGAGATGAGCACTTTTGGCGGGTGCACAAGTTACTCGGGTCCCTCGTGCGAGCGAAGCCTCCCATGCAGCCCTGCAGTCATATTCCACAAGACAGTCTGTCCTCCAAATCAAAGTCCATAGGGAGAGTACACGTGGACACGTCGCAAGCAGTCCGACACTTTCGCGCCAAAATGCACCAAAACAAACAGAAACCGCGGGAACGTCCCACCATGCACTCCCAGTCATCTCCATGCCCTACTTGACCACTCCCACTGACCACCTGCCCTCCCGTTCCCTACCTCCTCCCCGACCCCGATATCTTCCGTCTCCGTGAATCCAACTGCTCCTCCCACAACCCTCCAATTCCTTCCTTCTTCTTCCTTCTTCACCAGCAGCCTCTCCACAATGTTCGAAGCACGTCTCCCGCAAAGCGCAACCCTCAAAAAGCTCCTCGACTCTGTCAAGGATCTCATCGCTCAGACTAACTTTGACTGCTCCAACGATGGCATCAGCCTTCAGGTAAGCCCGCACCGCCGCACCGTACTCGCCTTGCCACCCGTCTCCAACGCCTCACCTGACCCTGTCTAACATCTGCCCCTTCGCGCCTACCCCCACAGGCGATGGACGAAGCCCACGTCTGCCTCGCCACCATGACCCTGCGCTCGCAGGCCTTCGACTTGTACAGATGCGACAAGCCGCTCTCCATGGGCATCAACCTCACCTCCTTCAGCAAGATCCTCAAGTGCGCCGGCAACGACGACTCGGTCAAAATCGTCGCCGACGACGAGGGCGCCGACTGCGCCGAGTTCATCTTCGAAAACAAGAGCGCCGACCGCGTCGCACATTTCGAGCTCAAGCTCATGGACATCGACTCGGAACACATGAGTGTCCCGGACGATGGTGACTACCAGGCCATCATTAACTTACCGTCACAGGAGTATCGCCGCATCTTTTCGGATCTCTCTATCATTGGAGACACCATTTCAATCGAGGTATCTAAGACATCGGCTTGCTTTTCAGTGGAAGGCGATATCGGCCAGGGCTCGCTTAATATTCAGCAGAGTGATTCCGCTGATGATAAGAGTGCTATCACCATCAATGTCAAGGAGCCCGTTAAGATGACTTTCCCGGGAAGATATCTCAACATGTTTACAAAGGCTGTCCCGATTTCCGACTCTGTCACGCTCTGTATTCAAGATGGCCATCCCCTCGCCATTGAGTTTGCTCTCCCAGAAGAAGCTGGGTTTGTCCGATACTTCCTGGCTCCTAAGATTGATCAAGACGACGACGACGAAGATGGAGAAGCAAAGTCTGACGAAGCAATCGATGCCGATGAGGAAGAATAGACACTTTCTTCCTTTGTTTCACTCACAGTCATAGAGTTGTTATCCCGATGCCTTTCCTTGAAGGCTGCTCAAGCCCAGGGCTTTTCGTTGGTGCCGTGCGCATCTTTCATGTATAAATGTTACGTCGTTAAAAGAGAACAAAACATACCTCACGCCTGTTGTTTTTTGACATCGCCGCAGCTACGACCTTGCAATACTCTAGCAAGTAGATTAGCCTCCCGAAGGTCATCCGTCACGAACTGATGTTTTGACTCTCCTTCACTGCCTCTACGCAGCTTCTCGCAGACGCACTCGCTCGCCGTTGAGAAGCGTCGTAAGGCGTGAGCCAAGATCAGATTATGTTTATCTTGTTAAAACCGATACTGTTCGCGTTCGCAAGAAAGAGTCCCTGATTGAGATATTTGCTTTCCTTTCCGTATCTCCATACATCTGCAGAAACAAGTATGTTCAAAATCCTGCCCATCATTCGCAATACAAAGGCGAATCTAACACTTAAATAGTACATAAAATACAAATCAGAGGTTCTGTTTGAGCTTGCCATTCGTCAAGTCGGCCAAGTCCTTATTTGTATACCCGTTTGTGCAAATCCAGGGGAGTCTCGGACTTGGGCATTCCATCTTCATGGGCTCTCGTTATAAGCCAAGCCCCAGTCAATTCAGCGCCAGAAAGGGAGGAAGTTTCTACTCGGAGGGTCATCAACTGCCACCTTTGTATCCAGCAATGAATATGTCATCGCGGACGGAAACGGGTTCTGGCGTGCGATACACTTCGAAGATTTCATCCGGTAATGCCACTGGAGACGGTAGTAGCTTCTTATTTAAGAAAGAGTCTGCGATACGAATCGGCTCTGGAGACGCATGCAAAACGATTTCGACGCGTCGAGTGTTCACATTAACGTCGTGAGCTTCGACATCCTTGGAGACCAGTAACCGGTTCGAAAACAGAAGCCTCAGTTTGCCATGCAGTCTTTCGCGACGGGCAGGAAGACGTCCCGTAGGCCGATTATTGGAGTGCGAAGTCCAGTGTTGCATTGATGTAGAAATGACAGCGGATTGAACCGGGAGGACACAAAGCATAAAAACGCCATAGAAAAATGCAACTGTTGAGGAAAACATGCTAAGAAAAGGAAGAATCACGAGGATGCGGTATCAGAGCAGATCAGACCAACCAAGGAATGAACGAAAGACGGACTGGAAACTCCAAGAGGGCGATGGCTCGATGTGCAGATTTTCACAAAAGCGATGAGGTTGAAGAATGGGAAGTATTCGGTTCTGAGGATTAGCGAACAGAAAGGCCTTCGCCTGTGTGAAGTCGTAGCGCTATTTAAGCAGCACAGAGCTAAGGCGGAAAAAGCATGAATCCGGTCGTTTCGACGGGACGACGGCACAACCAGCCCGCACGAGAGTGAGGCGGTTTGGGGCAGTGCAAGAAGGGTAAACCTGTAGGATGGAGAAGGAAACGAATGCGGAAAAAGGAGAACGAAGGGATAGATTATAGATTATAGATTATTGGGGGGTAGTATCAGACACGCACGATACCAAGGCGAGTGAGCCGAACGGGTGGTGCTTTGAAACCGTGTGGTCATAGTCTTCCAGAAGAATGGACGTGCTTCGAAAAACAAGTGCTCGGATTTTCGCCCCCAGGCTATAAAGTTGTGCCGTAACGGAAAAGCAGGGAGTTATGCGATGCAGGTCGAGAGGATAGTGCATATATGACTTGCGAATGATGAGAAAATATGTGTATCAAGTCGATGTCCTCGGGTGGTGGATTTATAAGCTCTCCATGCTCAAAGGATAACCCCTCAAAGGAAGGGTGACAGGTATGCGGAGTTATGATGGCTGACTTGCAAATTGTGTGATGAGTACATGTGCAAGGATAAATGAGATCGTGCTGAAGAGGGCCCTCGGTGCCAAACGGAGTGTGATCATGCAAAAGTAGGATGTCGGATACCGGAAGTCGGATGGGTGTGTTGCTGTGGTCTAGAGAACTGAGATGCAAGTCCATTTGCTTTGGACTACACCTGAGCCCTGAGCACTGGGTCGATTGCATGACGTCGTGCTGTAACGACTTGATCCTGGTGATGCGCCGTGCCAGAAGACTCCCGTGACACGAGTCCTGTGACATGTCAGGTGCATCGCTGTAGACCAAACGGTCCCTGTATCCTCCGGATTACGGTACAGCGCTGTCAAAATTTAATTAGTTAATTCCGAGAAAGGCAATACCCTGAAGGGTACCTTCGATGGTAACATTACCTGTTCTGTCGCCTACAAGACGCTCTTCGCCTGCCCATTTCTGCAACATATGATTTTGGGGGATTTTGGCGGGTGATTGCTAGCGACGCTAATACTCCTACAGTATGCAGCTGCTCATTTATCCTTGAGATAATTTTGCGTTTAGGGGGGCGATCAGGTGCATTTTGGTGGCGTCAATTGCTCTTTTTTGCTCATGACCAACCCACCTACAGTAGCTGTAATTTCTATTGTGAAATTTTAGTCATATCCGTTACAGAAATCCTTGTGCGTAAACCCTAAAATTACTTCTGACTGGGAGGAAGAAGTAATTTTACTTCTTCCTCCTGGAAGGAGGACCCTCCAAGGCTTGGAGGGCCGACGGGAGGGGGACACCGGGTTCTCCCTGGTTGTCGGGGGACACCGACAGAAAAAAACGTTCACCAACATTTATCGCTGTACGATAAATAACCTCCTCTACTCTCACTGTACTACTACACATACATCGGAGTGTCCACAATCACTCACACCCACAGCCCTTCATTTTGTGAGTTTTATAATTACTTTTGTGGTGTGAATCTGAACGTTTCGGTTTTCGCCGTGATGATGCATATTCCGTGGTGCAGTGTGACCTTGAGAGAGCCGAACAGCAATGTGTTGTAAATATATTCTCTCTTCAAACTTTCTGCCTCATCACACAGACTCCCACAACAAACCCGTACAACTATTTCATCACCTGCAGGGGGGTTCCAGGAATAGCCAATATTTGAAACAGTTCGTCGTGATGTCAAATGCTCCTTCACTGCTTTTGAAAGCAAAGCTTTAAAGCATCAACGGGGAGCTAGAGTTGCTGCGCCTCCTCCTCCACCTTCTAGGAACATTACATAGTCTCAACGGTGATCCCCATCATTATAAAGATTTTTGAGCAAATCTTTATCCCGGCAATCACATCCGTTTTGACATTGCTTATGCTAGCCAGAATCACACCCCTCTCGCTTTGCCGCGCTTGAGTATACGCTGGAGTTCCTCACTTTCATTTACACACACATCACACGTGTTCTTATAGTAGTCAAGGCTATTCAAAGGCAAAGCTGCAACATATTGACAACACTTCACGAGAAAGTCGCACACCACGCCCGTACGTATCGCCGCTCTCAACTTGGCACAGAAGAACCTTTTCGCAAAGAACACCAGCGACTAATGTGTCTTGCATTTGAGCCATTCGAGCCGGGACAAACCGGTACCCTCGCTTTGCTCGCGTACTGTCACCGCCATAGCTGAACCGTGCAGATACGTCCTTTCTTTACTTCAAAATACAACCCCTAGCCCCCTAGTTTGTTCTATCCCGCCTCCCTCTCCGATTCCTTCTGTCATCATCGCCACGATACCCACCAGAATAGCCTTGTGGGCGATCGCAATTCTGGGCAAGGACGCTTCCTCTGATGAGAAGGTTCTTTGTGCTGTCCACGACCTGTTCGTATACGCTCGGTACGGTAACGCCCATAATGACTTGATTTGCCTGACTATCGATCTTCGCATCCAGGCGAGCATGTCGGATCAGGTTGACAACCCACTTCTCAGCATCGTACTGAACCATGTTGAGCTTGCTAGCGAGCATACCAATATCAATGACCTGATGGATTCGGCAGTATGTCTCAAAGATGGTCCGACGAGCATCCTCCAAAAAGTCATCGAGCATTTTATACAGAAAGTAGTCCCGCTTGAGGGTGTCTTCGCACTTTTGGAGCATATCCTGCGCTCCCTCGAAATCAAAATTGACGTACAGACATTGCACAAACTCGGTGATGGGATCGGAATACGCGTACGACTCTTGCTGAATGACCTTGACAAGGTCCTTCATAACATTTCTCCGTCGCTTGTTCGTGATGACGGCAGTGGTAAGATAGCGAAGAATATGCGGGCAATTAGTTTGAATAGTATTAAGGTACTTATCGCTGAGTAGGAAGTCGGTGATACCATTTCTGCCGTCTGGGTGATTGAAGAACACGAAAAGGCTCCAATGGATGAGCCAGGTGCGCTGCTGCAGCTGTTGAAGTGGGTTAAGTAGGACAGAGCGTCCGCTGGAATCGATAGCTTCTTTGAGCATGTTCATATCCTCAAGCGCGGCATCCCATTTCTCCGTGCAAATATCAGCCGCAAACTTGCCCCAAAGCGCGAAAAACTCGCGTTCCGGATTATTGCCATTAGCGAGAGTGCGATATGCCCACATGAGGGCCGCAGTATCCTCGTAGCTTCCGCAGTCGAATCGAAACTTGCCGAGCTCGTAGATGGCGTCCAAAACCTCTGGCGGCACGTCATGCTGAGTGGTGAGATGCTCCATGGTGAACGAGTTGGTCTCCGAGAGCTCCTGCATGAGTTGGTCATCCTGGATGATGGCAAGGAGTGGGCTAGCATCGTCCTCGAGTGCGTGAAGAACCAGGATGACCTGATCCCTGCGGTTCTCGAGCTCGACCGGTGCGGGGGTTCCGTACAACTCAACGTGGGTTTCCATGGCGTAGTCAACCATTCCCGTGTTGGAGAGCAGGTCAATCTTTGCTTTCACGACGTCCTCTTTGTTGTAGCTTCCTTCGACATCTGGATGCTGGATGAGGAAGTCGAGCAATGGAATCACCTGGTGGCGATCCAGAAATTCGGACATCTTTCGGGTAAGGTCGAACTCCATGGTGTTGCCTTTTTGTCGCAGAGGCTGATACGGTGGAGGTTTCTTTAGTTTGCGCAGGCGCCTATGGAGTGTGAATTGAGACGATGGGACGAAGAACAATGAAGACGACGGCTTTCTTCCTACCGAGACGATGCCCGTCGGCGCCCGTCTAGAATATTTTCAAAAAAGACGATTCTGCCACACTCTCTTTTTATGGAAAATTAGGGTGACCGGACCAGTACAGTAGGTGAGTAGGTCTTGCCATTTCGGCTTTGATCCAGATCGTGTTTTGCCAATGTTTTCAACCTTCTCATAACACTATTTGTTTCCGCAGCCATCTCGCTCTGCTACAGTACTGTACGAGCCAAGCGCAACGCCACGCTCAAAAACGCGCTGCCTCTTGTCTAACGCCTCTTGTCAAGCAACTCTTGGGGAAGTGATCCTGGGCATACGAACGGGACACCTTGCATCTTCTTCTTCTCAACCCAAGTGCTCTTTTGCGAAAAGCCGACTGTACGGCAGGAACAATCCTTCCCAATAGTCGAACACCCCCGCGCATGCGCATTTGACATACCCTACAACCCGCACCCATATGGCTACGACGGTTGCCTCAGCGGCGACGACCGCAGCGCGCGCCGCCCCAGAGATAGCGAGCCAAGCCGCTGCAAGACTGAAGCCTGCGCACTGGGTGTGCAACATGCCGACGAGATCGATAGCGCAGGTTCTTCTTCGGCAAGACAACCTGATCATGGACCACGGCGCTCTCTACCAGGAGACGGACCGGCTCGGTCTGCTGCGAAGCCACCGCCATTTCAAGCATTGCTTGCGCATGCTCAAGATTCAGAAGAGGGTCCTCATCGTGTGCAAGGGGCCGGAGAAGCCGGGCAGCGCGAAGAGGGCTTTTTCTGTCAAGCTCACCCGGAGAGGTCAACGCATCTATCAGTATTATAGTGGGATGCCGGACAAGACCGACAAGGACGGCGATGGTGAACGAGGGTTGAAGGATGCGCTTGACTAGCGAGAGGGACATGCAACTAATCAGTCGAAGGTGTGGCGAATGGGATCGGATGGTGGGAGAGGTGGTCCTAACCCTGATACTGCTAGCAAAACTGATGCTCTCAATGCCAGTCTCCGTCTCGCAGTGATCTAGTCGCTGTCGTTACTCTCGACTTCAAGGCAGAGCGCAGCTGGTGCAAGCTTGAGAACGTCACGAATCTATGTGTTGTCGCTCGCGATGGGCTTCTAGCAGTAACGGTACTTCAGTACTAGTTCATGATGAGCCCACCTCCACCGGGCAAACAGAATGGCGAGCGCATTAGGATCTGACTGCCGAAACTAAATGGACCTGTAAATTATGAATGCGTCTTCCTCTTGCTGGGAGATTTCTTGATACCACGAGGCCGGAAATCATGTTTTCCATCAGATAGTTGATCAGGAACGCTGTTGCCTTATCTTGTGTTAGCTGATATCAAGCCTCCGTGGTAGATAGTGACCGCGACGGCTGTTTTCACATGGTCGCCAAAGGAGAGCTGTCGAGGTAATCGTAACCCGGAACGCACTTCGTCGCATGTACTTTCACCCACTTTCCCAACCTTCGATCCTTCACGCCTAGACCTGATAGGCGTTTCATGCCTTCGAATGCATCTGGAACAAGAGTGGTTTGTTCACGTAACATATAAGCTCATTCATAGTTTAATATTAACATTAACATTTGTATTATACATTTCTTACGTTTTTCTCGAGTATGATAATCGGTCATTTACCTGCGACGCCGATTCTGAAAAATTTTACGCCACCGCCGCTGCAGCCTCAAGCAGACGGTCCTTGTTTGCAACCCTCTGACCGGACACATTTTCGCAGTGGGCTTGTATCTTGTACTCTGCGGCTTCTTGAAAGCACACAGCGATGGCAAAGAAGTCAAAGCGTGTGAGGACAACCCCAGCGAAGAAGGAAGGAGCTGGAACACCGGCTAAAAAAGGAAAAGATGAACAAAAGTCATGTGAGACCCAACCTGTGAGATCTTCGCGAAAAACAGCTCGCAAGGAAAAAGTGCGCAACGGAAGTGATGATGTATTGAAAGGATTGGGCGAGAATGAGGCTGAAGACAACGCGGTCGATAAGGAACTCAAAGAGGGTGGTGAAGAGGAAGACATAGTGATGAAAGAGAGCGGAGATGGCGCGGATGATGAGGTCAACTTTGCGGAACTTGTCGGCGTTGGAGAACACTCAGATGAAAGCGATGAAGAAGGGACCATGGAAGTGCTGGCCCTTTCCCGACTGCCTGGTCAGGTGGTAAGCGAATTACGGAACGATGAGCCTGCACTGGAGAAGAAGCTTGCAGATATCGCTATCTTTGCGTCTGCAAACCGGAGAAAGGATGAGTCCCGGTTCTGGGAGTCGCTCACAGTTACAATGCCGTTGGAAGGGACGCTTCCGGATAGTCTTGCTCTTGATGATTTGAAGAGGGAACAACGCTTCGCAGAGCTCGCCACAGCTGCGGTGCATATCGGGTTGGACAATCTGCGGGGACAAAAGAAGAAATTCCGGCGGCCTACTGATTACTTTGCACAGATGGTGAAGACTGATACGCAGATGGGCAAGGTGAAGGCGAAGATTCTACATCACAAGGAGAGGATTGAGTCAGCAGAAAAGCGAAGAAACAATCGCGATATTGCCAAGAACAAGAAGAAGTTGCGTTCATCGCAACTGCAAAAGGAGCAGGAAAAGAAGCGGAAGGCGAAAGAAGAGATTCAGGCATTCAGCCGGTTGCGCAAAGAGCGTCTCAAACAGCGAGCAGGTGCTGGTGTGACAGAAGGCGATGGAGATGTCGATGATGACTTCCCTATCGAGTTGCTAAATGTTGAGCAGCTTGACGACAAGAACACATTCCAATCACACGCAGATATTTCGTCTGGGAAGAAGAAAGCGTGGAGCGGGAAGAATGACAAATTTAACAAGCCGAAGCCCACTAACGGCGCTCGGGCGGGACAAGGCAATGAGGTGCAAAGTGGTAAACTTGGAACAGCAAATGGAATACGGAAGCCAAGAGGAGGAAAGAAACGTGTTGGGCGCAGTCGTCGTAAAGCTGCGGCAAAATAGTTGTATTGCAGGCCTGTCTCAAGATAAATGGGATATGTATGCAATCGGGATAGAAGAGGCTAATCTATACTGCCATCATCGTGCCATGCCGTACCGATTCTGTCGTCCGGGTAGCTTATGACCCCCGTAAAAGGTTTTGATCAATATGCGTCTCTGAGAGCAGAGTTTTTTTCTGCGTGAAAGTTTTCTTTCTTCCAATGCTACCGTAATTAGCATAGAGACTTGATCATGCTAAACCCTGTCGTGCTAGGGTTTAGCCCCTGCACTAAAGACTCATCGTGACTCTATTGGAATAAAAGTAAAGCTTCAGGCCCTGACTACTTGTGGGTTTCCTTCAGTGAATGCGCATCTATACGTTCTATTGTAGAAGCCTGGAGGATTCATTTGTGTCTCTTTTGTGATTGCACCCACCACACGTACTCAGACGTCTGTCGGGTTGAGAGTATCTCAACTCCCCCCAGATCTTTCGTGCCATTAATAGCTTCAGTCCAGGATTATCAGTTACTAAGTATTATCCCAGTTACGCTGCGAGTTTTCACCAAGAGCAGATATGCGTTCATGCCTACTCTTTGCAGATTGCATCTCACGAAACTCGAAACTCGTCAGAATAAACAGAGCATCACAGCTGCCCCATTTTCGAGTTGCTCGCCCTACTATGTCGTATAGATGGGGAAACGGATAGGAATTTATGACTTGTTTGTAATTCTGTCTGCATGCACTGTCATGGGCATTCTTGAGGGGACCAGTCCTACCCAGGAAGCATGTTGAAGAAATGCCATGCGGAGAAGCGAATATGACATTTACGGTGGCGGCATATTTTAACGCTCGATTTACTCAACCTTTATTTAATTAAGAGCTCGATTTGTTTCTCTGACTCCAAAACCTCAACCCGGATTGGGGCTGAAGTATTCCCGCGGAAACCAGGAGATTAGGGATCTCAACCCCTCCTGCGCCGAAGGATGGCCGCAAGTGTTCTAGCATTTGGATTGTCCACAACAACTCGACTAACACGGGGCTTTGGTCGGACACTCTCTGGATCTCACAAGAGGTCAGTGCAAAAACGGGTTCGATTTCTTTGTAGCACAACATCAAATGACAAGAAGCGGGTTGTTTTCCTTGGTACACCGCCCGTCGCGGCCCGAGCTCTGAAGACAATAAACATCGCTGCGTTGAAGCCAGACTCGTCCTTTTCAATAATAGGGGTTGTTACCCAACCACCAGCTCTAGTTGGGAGAAAACGGGTACTGACAAATTCTCCGGTGCACACGCTGGCGGAGGAACTCTCCATCTCAACGATAATGACGCCAGCGAGTGCGAAGGATCCCGGCTTTTTGGATCAACTACGCAGTCTGGCGCCAGATCTCTGTATCACGGCCGCCTACGGCAATTTCCTCCCGAAAGCCTTTCTAGACATTCCACCTTTTGGCACGCTGAACATCCATCCAAGCCTTCTCCCCGAATTCCGTGGTGCTGCGCCCGTCCCACGTGCTCTCGAAGCCGGGGTGCAAACCACGGGGGTCTCAATATTGTTGACGATCCTCAAAATGGATGCCGGGCCCGTGCTCGCGCAACGCATACGCGAATTGAAGGGCGACGAACAAGGCCCGGAATTACTCGAAGAGCTTTTCGCCTCCGGTTGCGAAGCTTTGCTTGACGTGTTGCCGAGCGTGTGGGATGGTACAGCTCAGCATATTGCGCAGGACCACGATGCGGCGACGCATGCGGCGAAGCTTTCGAAGGACGAGGCGCGGTTGAGCTTCACTGAAAACGCATGCATCATTCACAACAAGGTGCGGGGGTTTGCGGGGTGGCCGGGGACGTGGGGGGATTTCGTGCTCCGGGGCACGGATGGAGAGCGGCAGGAAGTGCGGCTGAAGGTGCTTGAGACCGTGGTGCTGCGACAGGAGGGAGGGATGTGCCTGGGTGTGCATGATGTCTCTTTCGATGAGGACAATAATTGCCTCGCCGTCACGTGCGACGACGGGAGCAAGATTGGGGTGCTCCAGGTGCAGCCGCCGGGGAAGAAGGGCATGGATGCCCGCAGCTTCTGGAACGGGCTCCGAGGCAAGAGTGTCGGGCGGAAACGGGTACCTCATTGAAGCGTGGATGCATGTGTTGTCAGGCCTACCGGCTTCGGGTAGGACAGACTATACGACAGGGAACGGAGGGAGACGACATAAAACTTTGATCTAACATCGTAAATGCACAAGCAAGTGGTAGTTGAGTGACAGGAATCTCACACAGCTCGCCCATCCTGCGAAGGGGACGGGCGTTTTAATATAGGAATCAAATAGTCACGAGGTAGACGACCAAGATGGAGGTTATCCTGGCGGTGGCGGTGGGGGAAAGTCGCGTGCCGGTGGAGGTGGTGGCGGGGGTGGCAAATCCGGGCCCTTGTGGATTGCCGGCGGCGGCGGTGGCGGAGGGTAGTTGTCTGCACCATAGCGCTGGTCAGGCGGGGCAGCGTGCGGGTCGTTTGCCATGTACATTCGCGGTGGGTACTGGTGCGGCGCTCCACGCCCCTGTCCATAAGCCGGAGGCGATCGCACAGGGCGGTATGGAGGGGCGCCGTACGGAGGCGGGTTGGCATATGGTGGCGGAGCGGGATGATGCACGTACGGTGGGGCATAGGGGTCATGCGGCATTGGCGGATGACCCGGCGGGGCCGGGCGGAGGTCTGCAGGTGGCGGCGGCGGGGCCGGGCGGGTAGCAAAGGCGCCTGGCAGAAGCCACGGAGGGGTGGGGCGTTGTGTCGGGTGGCGGCGGTCGTGTGGTGCGGTGGGAGCGTCGGAGTTCGGCTGGGACGGTGGTTTCGGCGAGGTTGGGTCGACGCCGTTGAGCTCTGCCATAAATGCGACGTAGTCCGCGTCCAAGTTGGCGTCATCGGGCGGCTTGGGGCCCTTTTTCGGGCAGTCGGGCGTGGGGTGGGAGCTCTCGCCGCAGATGGCGCAGGCGATTCGGCCGGAGGCGCGATCAAAGGCGCCGCGCGCGGCGGGGGACCGGAAGTCGCGGTCTTGGTCGCGCAGCGTGCCGTTGAGCTGTGCGAGCTCGCGCAGCTGGGCCTGCTTGTGGTCGTTTGCGTCGTCCGGGCGCGGCTGCAGGATGTCCATGATCTTGATCTTGCATTGGGCGATACGGTCCTTCGCGTCCATGCCCTCCGCAGTGATGATGACGTGCAGCTGCTCGCTGTCCTCCGGCTGCGACGGCCCGCGCGCGCGGCCGTCCTTCACGCTGCCCTTGCCGCGAATAGCGACCTTGCAGTTGTAGTCCTTCTCCAGGCGCTTCTGGGTGTTCCCCCTCGGACCGAGGATGCGGCCGATGAAGTTGAGCGTGCCCTCCTTCTCCTTCGGAATGAACAGCTTGTCCGAAAACTTGAGGGCGCGCATGCCGTGCGGCGGGCGGAAGGTCGGGTCCAGCTGGCCCAGGCGGGCGCACAGCTTGAAGCGCTCCATCTCCAGCTTGTCCAGCGCGCGGTCGTAGCGGGTGTTGACGCGCTTCCCGCGCGCGTCATAGCGCGGCTCGGGTGACGGCGAGCGGCACAGCTCGTCGACCGGGATGGCGTTCGTGGCGATCGTGCTCGTGATGCGATCTAGACGCGCCTGCAGCTCGCGGCGCTCCTTGACGCGCTCATCCACAGGCTCCCAGCGCGAGCGCCGCGGGCGCTTGCGCTCGCGCGGCGCGGACATTTTGGGGGTGGGGGGTGGGGGGTTTGGTTGATCGGCTGCGGCGTGGGAGGGTGCGGATGTGAGAGAGGGCGGGACGCTGTGAGACGGTGCGCCGGTGGAGCGAGGCCGGGCCTATCCAATGTCCAATGACGGGGAGGAGTAAGACGAGCCGTGTGGACACGTGTTCGACACGTGTTCGACACGTGTGCGATCCCTAGAGCCGTGTTTACAGTACTGTAAGAGAGCTGCACGCCGCCTCTCCGGCTGCGCCACTTGGCACCCGCCGGATGGCGCGCCGCATCATGCGCTGATCACCGCTTCGCCTGCCTCTATCGCCCCCTCGAGATCTTTAGCCATCAGATGTTTATAACCATCGGGATCTTTTGGCTCAAGAGCCATCAACATCGGTCTTTACGCACAAAGGCTAGCCTGCCAACCGCCCTCCTCCTCCTTCTCCTCGCCACTCGCCGATCCTGCCATGATTCCCGTCATGGCCTTCGTCCCCGCCGCGCCTGCCGCGCTGCCGCGCACCTCCTACGGGGGGAGCCGCACCTCGTGCTCTGCCCGCGCGTCGTCGTTCACCTCGCGGGGCGCGTTCGCCGGCGCGCGCGCGCGGCCGTCGCGCGCGGCGCGTCAAGTCGTGCGCGCGGCCGTGGACAACGGGCTCGCGGCGGCCGCCGCCGCGGCCGCGCCGAAGCGCGTGCTGGTACTGGGCGGCGACGGCTTCTGCGGCTGGCCGACCAGCCTGTACCTGAGCGAGCTCGGGCACGACGTCATCGTCGTGGACAACCTGTCGCGCCGTAAGATCGACTTGGAGCTCGAGTGCGAGAGCCTCACCCCCATCCAGAGCATGACGGAGCGCCTCGGCGCCTGGCAATCCGTGTCAGGCAGGGATGTTAGATTTGTCTACTTGGACGTCGCCCATGAATACGATCGCTTGCTGGACCTGATCATTAGGGAGAAGCCGGATGCCATCGTGCACTTTGCGGAGCAGAGGGCAGCGCCCTATTCCATGAAGGGGTCTAGGCAGAAGAGGTATACGGTGGATAATAATGTCGGTGGCACGCATAACTTGCTTGCGGCTATTGTCGAGTCTGGGCTTGATATTCATGTCGTTCATTTGGGCACTATGGGCGTGTATGGGTACGGTACTTCGGGTGGTGAGATTCCAGAGGGCTATATCAACGTCGTCCTGCCTGGAGGGCGCCAATCTCGCATTCTGCACCCGTCGTATCCGGGCTCGGTGTATCATGCCACAAAATGTCTCGATCAGATTCTCTTCCAGTTTTACCAGAAGAATGACTCACTGCGGATCACCGACTTGCATCAAGGCATTGTGTGGGGAACGAACACCGCCCAAACCCGCAAGGACGAGAGGTTGATCAATCGCTTTGATTACGACTCGGACTATGGCACCGTCTTGAATCGCTTCCTCATGCAGGCCGCCTTGGGCGTCCCGCTCACCGTCTACGGCACGGGCGGCCAGACAAGAGCTTTTATTCACATCCAGGACACCGCCAAGTGCATCAGTCTCGCCATTGCCAACCCACCTGAGCCGGGCGCGCAGGTCGAGATCTTCAATCAAGTCGCAGAGACGCACCGCGTCAGGGATCTCGCAAACCTCATCTCCGAGAAGACGGGATGCGAAGTCAAAAACATCACTAACCCGCGCAACGAGTCTGCCGAGAATGAGTTGGATGTCGCTAACCGCAAGTTTAGAAGTCTTGGGCTTAATCCCACCACGCTTGAGGTCGGCTTGCTGGATGAGGTCGTCTCCATTGCCGACAAGTACAAGGAGCGCTGCGACAAGTCGAAGATCCTTCCAAACTCGTTTTGGAACAAGACGCGTCGTCGCGAGTGCGAGGAGTTTGGTTTGAGCTCTTTTGATGTCGGCGCGTATTCTGTAGCGGAGGAGGATGCCATGCTGTATAGTTTGAGTAAGGGAGACGTGGCGACCATGGAAAAGCTGCGTGCCGTCCTCAAAGGATCCTAGGTGCCATTAAAACACCTCTCAAGTATATGCAGAATCCCTGTCTCAAGGTGTTTGGTACCCTTTTACCTTGAATGAATGTTCCCGCAGTGATCCTCTTTGCTGACCGCGACATTTCGAATCGCGTCTCGCACTAAAGGGTAACGAAGAAAGAGTGGTGATTTATAAAATTTTGCCAAAAACTTATACGGTGTATGTGTACCACAGTTAAAACAAGGAGTCGCGCAACGCGTCGTCCAGCCATTTTACCCGAACCGTGCTGTCTAGCATGAGCAGCTCTCCGCATACGAAGACCCCTGCCCGCTCGCGGACGGTTGAATGTTGCCCGCGGCGCTATCCGAGGTGCAAAGTTGTGGAGTTTCCAAGATCTTCCGCAACAGTTCCTCAAAGGTCTGCTGCACGCCGGAGGCGGTCTTCGCGCTGGACTCGACAAAAAGAGTGCTCTGCTGGCGTGCAAACGCCAGGCCCTCTTCCCGGGACACCTGGCGGTCCTCGATGTCGACCTTGTTCCCCACCACCATCTTCACGGCCGCGCTCCTTGTACTGTACATCGAGACCTCCTTCAGCCATACGTCCTTGAGCGCCTCGAACGTCTCCCGTTTTGACACGTCGTAAACCAGTATCACGCCATGTGCGCCTCGCTGAGGGTGTCGGGAAAGGGAATATCGGGCGCGACGTGGAAATCAAGTCTGAGACGCGTTGTTAGTTGCTGGGGGTGGCCGCGAGCGTGGTGGACTTAGGCATCTTCGCGTGCGGTGTCACGTACATAGTAGGCGCTTGTGAGCGTTCGAAATCGCTCTTGCCCAGCTCTACAGACGCGGCGAGCAGAAGCGGTAGCGATCGAATAGAGAGAGAGAGAGAGAGGGGGGAGTTAGAATCAGTTTCCACTGGTGTATCGCATGTAAGATGGGGGCGAGGATGGGGGCGGGGATGGGGATGGGGATGGGGAGACGTACGTATCCCAGATGGTCATCTTGACCCTGCGATTGTCGACCTTCATCGCCTTGACCTTAAAGTCGACGCCGATAGTGGGCTGCATAGCCTCGAAGACGTCGTCGGTAAACCTGAGCAGGATGCTGGACTTGCCGACGCCGCTGTCGCCGACGAGCAGGATCTTGAAGGTTTCGTCGAACTCCATGTCGACCGAGGCGCGGCGGTGCGCTGCGTGCTGGGGGAGGTGCTGGGGGAGGTGCTGGGGGAGGTGCTGGGGGAGGTGAGGGGGGTGCTGGGGGCGGGTGCGGGTGCGACGGGGAGATGGGCGCGTGCCTCCAACGTTGCCGGTGGCACAGTCGCCTCCAATGACAGCAGCGTCAAGAGTCGGAGTCGACTTTTTCTTTTTTGCCGTCCGTTGAATTTCTTCCTTTTTCCGTTTCCGTTCCCGATCCTCACTGGCCCACTTGCCGCTCCCCCGATCGCCGTCACATTCGCCGCCAAATTCTTCATTTGGGATCCTTCCCCCCCCCGGCCCCACCCTGCGCCCCCCCCCTACCCCCGCCCGTCATGGCGGACGACGATGGCTCGGCAGACGATGACGGCTTCCAAGTCAGCGCCATCACGGCCTCCGATGGCACGCGCTCCAAGCCAAAGGCCGCCCCGCCGAAGTCCGCCGACCTGTTCGGCGTGAGCGCCTACGCCGCGTCGGGCTCGGACTCGGGCTCGGACTCGGGCTCGGACTCGGGCTCGGACTCGGACTCGGACTCTGCCCCCTCCTCCTTCTCCGGCGCGGAAGCGGAGGGCGTGAAGCCAGCCAGCCTGCGATCAGGGACCGGCGCCGGTGGCGCCGCGCCGCCTAAGCCGCCCAAGCGGCGGCGCGTGACCTTTTCGGAGCCGACACCCAAGGGCGGGCGCGGGCCGCGTGCTGACGGCGCGGCGTCCGCGGAAGCGTCGGGCGCGGAGGAGGCCGAGCTGGAGGCCGCGCTGGCGGCATTTGAGGCGGAGGTGGGCGCGGCGGAGGAGGACGTGGACGAGCGCGACGTCGACCTCGCGGAGGCCGAGGACGCGCGCGAGGAGGCGTTGCAGGAGCGCCTGCGCGAGCGCGTGCGCGGCTTGCGCGACAGGCTGGCCAAGGGCGGCCGCCGCGGGCGCGTCGGGCTGCGCATGGGCGGGGAGGAGATTGCCATTCGGGTCGGGAGAAGGAGAAGAGGCACGCAGGGTGTGGAGAGCAGCGGCAGTGAGGGTGCGCCCGAGGTGGACTTGGTGCGCGACTGGACGCAGTTTACGTGAGAGGAGGGGGAGGCTCGTGTCTCGAACAAAACGGAAAATCCGACGCGTCTCGCTCCCACGGCCGTCGGTGGGCGACGCTCTATATTAGTACAAGGATGAGTGGGCGGTCGAGGTGGCGGTGGCGGCGTCACGCGCGGACCCACCAGCCGCCCGGCAAGCGTTCATAGTTTTCCCAGATGACCTTTTCGCGGAAGTGTGCAACGAGCGGGGCGGCGTCTCCAGCACAAGCAATTGGGACCGTCACCGAATCGAGGCGCTCCAGCGCGTCAATCTCGAACGCGGCCCGCGGCATCTGGACGGCCACTGTGCACACGGCGAAGTCATCCCTGGAGAGGCGGAGCTGCGCGGCGGGGTCGACGGCGACCAGCTCCGTTTGTTCGGACCTACACACGGCCACCTGGCGCAGCGTAGCGTCATAGCCGCTGCCGTCGTCGGCTCGCGACGCGTCATGCCGCGCGCGCACGGGGATGCCCGCGCAGCCCGTGAGCGCGAGGGCCATGGCGCGCACGGTCACGGCGAGCGCGGGCTGTGCGGCGACGTTCTGCAGCACGACGCGCAGCGTGATGGCGCCGGCGACGAGCGTGCAGTCGTCCGTGGAGGCGACGGTGACCCACGCGAGCGCGGCGTGCGGGTGGCGCGGCAGGTGCAGCGCGCCGCGG